ACACACACATGCAATCTGATAGTTCACCACACCCAAACTAGCACAGATCTATTTTATGATGCTGCAATTTGAAAGTGTAATAAAATCTTAACACAACGCTGTTGGATGGTAGGAACATTTAAGAGAAAAAAAATGACATCACCGTAATCGACTCGGCGAATGATGAAAAGGATGATAAAGTGATAAGGACCTAACATCTCTTAAGTGTATCATAGTTGATTAAAAAGATACAAAAGCACATTTATCATCATTATCATCCATATTATTATTATTATTGTTGGATAATCATAATTTAGTTATTTATACCGAATTAAAAAATACATACAAAGCAAGACAAAAAGAAGTAATTTACGTACAAACCTTCTGCCTCATTCATTAACTGCACACCACCATATTCCAGAGATCAGGCAAATTGAGTTTAAGTAATTATGCACATGAATGGATTGACGATTGTGATCAATGGAAATAAAAAAATGGATGAATGAATGATGGATAGATAGACGGACGGATGGATAGAGGAATGGATGGATAAGATAGAAGCAAAAGGGATAAGTAAAGGAACGAATGAAGTTGAACGAATTAAATTGATAAACAATGAATGAATGGATAGATGGATAGACCGATTGGTAGATGGATAGAAAGATGGATAAATAAATGGATAGATAGATAGATGAAAAAGTAAATGAATGAATCCAAGAAATGCACCAAAATTAGGACGCGAATAAAGATGAGATTTTATCCAAGTACAGTACTGTTATATTGCTTTATTCTTATTTTAGGTTGGGTCGATAACTTTTTACCAATTTGGTTTTACCATCTTGAAAACTGTTTTGAAGAAAAATACCTTTCATACGTAATTACTAAATTTAATAGATGTAATTAATGATTTAATAAAATGCAACAAAAATTAGCACTACATATATCTGTATGTCTTTGTTTGCATCGTTGTTGTTATTATTATTGTTGTTTACACGAATTTTTTCTCATTTTTTTTGTTGTATAAGTATATTTTCATAAAAAATATTCATAATTATATTAATAATAAATAATAATAATAATAATCAGGCCCTGGAAGAGACTACTTCTTCTTATTATTATTATTGTTGTTGTTCAAAATTACGATAAAAATGTTTCCATACAAATAAATATGAAAAATCAAGCCTAAAAATGTGTTTAAATTAAATGTATTCCAACATTGATAAAAACAATTTAATAAACATAGATTAATTAATAATAATAAAATAATAATAATTATATATCATAAATAAATATTATAGATTGTACAGTTTAACACGAATTGTTAACAATTTCAACGAAACTTTTTTCTCCTTTACACACAAAGACAGATATATATATATAAATTGTAGTTGTATGTATGTATGTATTGTATATACCTACAACTGATCCTTCGTGATATAATTAGTTAGTGCGAGTACTTCAATTTCAGACCCCTCTCTCTCCTCATATGTTGAAGTGCATACACTTGCCTTTATAATAATAACAAAGATGATGACGACGACGATGATGAAGGTAATAATAATAATAATAATAGCAATAATAATAATAATAATAATAACGGTGTTACTACTACCACTACTACTACTAGCTATGTCACAGCGGCTACTGTGGCTACTACTGTGGCTGCTGTTGCTACTGCTTCTGCTACCACTACTAATACTGTTACTGCAGATACTATTATTGCTACGGTTACACTTATTTTTACTATTTTTACTATTAGTACCAGTAATAACTGTAATACTAACAAGAAAATAATAATCACGTCACGATGAGAATAACGATGATGAGTGAGTTAATGATATTAAAAATATTATTAGACAGCTGTTTGTGTGTGCGTATGTGCGTGTGCGTGCGTGCGTGTGTGTGTGTGTGTGTGTGTGTGTGTGTGCACGATTAAACAGCAAATTATTTCTTTGATAACATTCGTTAATTGGACTTACTAAATATTGGATATAAATAATTACACAAACTAAGTGAAAGAAAAAGAGAGAAAGAGAGAGAGAGAGAGAGAGAGGGGGGGGGGGGGGAGAGAGATCAAATTGGATACACTGATTAAAAATGATAAATTGGTAAAATGTTGACTACAAAAACTACTATTTATAAATATAATAATTAATACTTTAATTTTGGAAAATAGTGTAAAAAAATTGAAACTAGAATTCTCGAAAAGGAAAGATAAATGTTGTAATGGTAAAGTGTGGGGCCATGCTATTGCAGTGATCCTACCCGTCTATCATCACAAGCGCAAACAAGCAGAGTTGTTGATGCTTTTGAAAAAAAATTGAAGAATCGTAATAAATAAAGATTTGCCTGGATGCTATACAACGATGATAATTACATGAGAATGATTGATAATGAACCATACGTGAAGGAGACAGTTTTGTCTGTTTGATGTATTTTTAATTTTTATTACGAAAATACAAGTCTGGAAAATAACGTCCTCATACATGAACACACATAGGCCTACCGACACATATACACACACACACACACGCAGACATTTCGGACAAGATGTTTTTTCGAAATGCCCATCCTGCCCAGTCAGTAGTTAATGAAGATGCAAAGAACTTATTTTTCGAGTGTGCCCATTTCAACATTTTTAGAGAAAATTTGGAAACTGTCATCCAACAGAATATCTAGCCGGAGAACATAGTGAAAGCTTAAGCTATGCTCAAAATGATGAAAACTTGCTTGTGCTATGACGCCTGTGACGTTCTCCATAATTGGCGAAGAAATGAAGGGCAAAGAGCAAATAATCAAAGAGAAAAGGTAGGTATTCAGATGTTGTGCCCCCAAAAACTGGAGGAATAGCATGTTTATATGATTTCCCCTCCCCGTGTAGTAATGCCTAACGGAGGATCAGCGGGGGAAGCAGGGATCAGATGTCGAAGATGTTTTTAGTCGATATGGGATCTTTTTGAGTCCGACATATCCAGGAAATGTAGCCTGGAATGCATGAAGCATCAAAGAAAAACACACACACACACATATACTAACACATACATATAAAGGGTATATATATATACATACATATAACTTTTGTACTTTGGTGAGCCGACGAGGAACATACACATACTAAAAAATCTGATCAAACAAGAAACCGATGTTTACGTACGTGTTTTTGTATATACACGTTAACATGTTGTGTGTGTGTGTGTGTGTGTGTGTGTGTTTATTCTTGTTTGTTTGTAATGCATTTTTTTTGCACGGTTAAAAACTCCATGTTCGGTTATGAAGGACCCATTATAACAATAAAAAATTAATTCAATTTTAAATATTTTCTAGAACGAAATATGGCAATAAGTTGTAGCCATCAAAGATTTGCCGAGTGAAAGATTCGGTTTTGAGATCGATGACGGTCGTTTCCAGCATGTAAAAACAGTGCACGCTATGTTATCATTTCCGCTAGGTCAGTTACAAAAGCATCATAATTCAGGATATTTGTGTCCAGGAAATCTTAACGTAGTCAGAGCCCTAGTATGCTCACGGTTCTGGTGAAACCTTTTTTTTAGGAATATATACGAAGTTCTAACATTTATCTAATGTGTGAGCACTTATGTTTTGTTAGTCTATCTTCACCTCGTTGCCTTTTATACTATTATATATTTGACGTACTGCAGCACCATCACAACATCAACATCACCATCATTTTTCTTTCTCTCTTTCTTTTTCTCTTTTCTCTCTTTTCTCTCTCTCTCTCTTTCTCTCTTTCTTTATCTATTTCATCTATCGCCCTAACTCCCCACCAATGATTTTCATTCACTATCTACTTGTACATTTAAATCGGTTCTCGTGCAGTTGGCTTGTGAATTGTGCTACATGCACATATATTAATTTATATAGAATACAGTTATATTCTATATATATGGCTAAATGATAGATACATCTAATTCATATATATATATAGAGTATATCTATATACATATATAGAGTATGATATATTTATTCTATATATATATATATATATATATATATATATATATATATATATATATATATATATATATATATATATATATATATATGATCTAATTTAATGTTTAAAGTTCTCTTCTAATAATGTCTGTGATATTTTTTAGATGAAATTCCAGTTGTTTGTTTAATGATTAGCGATTTTAAATTTTCAAATGTAGGTTTAAATGTAGGTTTAAATAAATCTTTAACAAGTATTTCATATGGGCTTTGAAAATGTAGAATAATATTACCGAATTTAGAAAATTATTTTATCTATGTTATTTAAAATTATATCTACTCCTGCCATCTGTCTTGCTTGATGGTCACCGTAGCATTTTTCATTTGCGAGCGATGTTTAGAATTTAAATGGCGGTTGTGACGAAAGTTTTTGACATTTTAACTCGAAAATTGCAAAAATTACAGTTTGATCAAGAAATCGACGAAAATTCCTCATCATCGTTGTATGATTACATTTTAAATGAGACCGAATCGAAAGATATCCGTGAGTTTACTTTTTTTAAATTTAAATGTTAATTTTTTTAGTGTTGCTTTCCTGTTTACTTAATAACACGGCCCATATTATTTTTTCCTCAACAATGAAAACTTGTTTATTTTTGTTTTAAACATTCTCCTCTTACATATAATACGTAATATTTTTAATTAATTTCTTTCAAAATTTAATTTTCTTATTAGGCAAGACCAATTTTTTCTTGTTTTTTCAATAAATTGAAACTTTCTAACTACTCCTATCTTGGTTAAATAAAATTATGTTTTAGTTTGATTGAATTCATAAATTTTCTATCTCAAGTTTGTTTTTTTTTATTTAGTCTTTAAAATAAATTTTAACTTTTCCAAAATAAGGTTTTAATTAAATAAAATAAAGTTTTAAATATCGTTATTTTATATAAGTAAAATTTCAAAAAATCATTTCTTTCTACTATCTTATCTTGTTGCCTATATTAAAACAACTGGGATAGAAAATAATATGTTGGTAGTTAAATTTGTTAAATTTTTTTTTAATATTTGTCAAAACAAAGGACCTATTGAGGTACCTCAATCTCAGATGATGGAGTTAGAACTGCTGGATAAGAAGATTAGACGACTTAATCTTAAACTCAAAAAGGTTTGTTTCATTGGGCTAACTTAACATGTCTATTAATAATAATTAATCGTTATTGACATTACAGTTTTAAGAATTATAAAGACATTTTAGAAATTAATTTTGATAAATATATATTTTTTTTTCATAAGTTTATTTACACTAATTCCTAATTTTAAAAACAACAGCACAACATCTACTTGCACATATTTGACCATACCGACATTCACTATGGACCTACATTAGGCAAAGGTGGGGAGGGAATTGTCCAGAAATGTACTGTTAGGTTAGTAGCATTTTACAAAATGATCTCTATTTATTTTTATAAATATTTTAATTATTATAATTAATTAGTTATTAGTGAGTGTTTATAATTATAAATATAAATAAATATCTGCTACCAGATAACATTAGAGATAGTATTATATTAAAATGCATAGTTGAAGTTATAAATTTTATACTTAATGAACTTACTTACTGCTGTTTCAGATGAGACAAAATATTTGATGAAGTAACAGCTAATCTTATTTTTTATTCATCTAATTAATAATTAATTAATTAATTATAATTATGATGATTATCACCACCGCCATCATAACAGGTATAATGAGTTGCTGGTAGATGCTGCCGTCAAAACTGTCCTGAATAACACTGACGACGGCCTGGAGATTACATTTGATGAAATTGAAATGCTTTGGTGAGACGACGACGACGATGATTCATTCAAGATTTTATACATTAAATGAATTTTTGAAAAATGAATTTTCATAAATTTTTAATTATTCATCTTGACGGCCCTGTCCTTTTGTCTGACATATCTTGTCATTTTGTAATTGAACCAGTTATAAATTGACTTAATCTAATTAGTATAATATTAATGAAATATGTAACATTATCTCATTGCTGTTGCATGCAGGGATTGAGAATGATGACAGATAGCTGTCACGTGCTAAACCATAACCAGTCATAAATTTATAATAAATTCTCTTACATTCTTTTTAAATTCTGCCTAACCAGCTTAGCCCACGATCCGATAATGACGACAACGATAAAAGTTTACGGGGTGGCAGCGGTACCGGACAGAGAGGACCCAACACATGGCCATTTGGTCATTATCATGGAGGCAGGAATCAAGAACGCCCTACAACTCTATCAAGACGAAACCATTCCCTTCCACGTTACTCTCGATCTCTGGCATAGGCTGGCTGTCTCCCTACACTGCATACACAAGAAGAATATTATCCACCAGGATTTGAAACCTGAGAATGTCCTCATCACCGGGGTATGTTCTATGATGAGCTTTTAAGATTTTTTTTTGTCTCTGTATTTAGAGTTGATTGCTGATTATGAGGACTGTTAGCTGTTTTCTTGTAAAGTAGAACTAACTTTATTCATTATGTTATTATGAAAAACGTAGTTATTCCGTGATCATTATGGTATTTTGGAGCGTCTGGAGGCCAAAGTTATCGACCTTGGCATGGCGAGATTAGTTGAAGGCGGCAAGGTAGTCACAGAAGATGTCCTTGGTACCACTGGGTACCATTCTCCCGAGGTTCTCTTCGATGAAACTTATGACTTCAAGGCTGACGTGTTCGTTCTTGGGATAACATTTTGCGTCATGGTTAGTTTTTTATGTGTGTGTGTTTAAATATCTCTCTGTGCATGTGTGTGCGCTTCAGTGTTGTTTCTACATGTTTTGCTTCTACATGTTTTGTGAGGTCTTTCAATGTCTTATCGTATACTTTGATGCCTGGGTTTCGTCTGTTTCTTGTTTTTAAAAAATTTTTTGAATAAAAAAATGTAGTTGTGAATTTTCAGAGAATAGTTTCAAGTGTCTTTTGAAAATGAATTCAAGTATTCTTGAGACAAATCAATTTTTGGCCTGTTGGTCTGAATGAAAAACTTGGTTCCATGGCTAGCCAACCCTATTTAACTCAACCCCATTTAAGCCAACCCCCTCCAACTCGACCCACATGCAAGTCAGCCCACATCCAACTCAACCCACATGCAAGTCAGACCACATTCAACTCAACCCCATGCATCTCAACCTCATTAATCTCAAACTCATTTAACTTATACCTCATTTAATTAGACCCTCATTAAACTGAACCCTTATGCAACCAAACCTTTGTTTAGGTCAACCCACATTTAACTTGTCCCAAATTTTACTGAACAAACAATTATCCCAACCTTTATCTTAACCCAAGGCTTGGATCTGAACCCAATCACATCTTGTCTAAAATTAAATCCAGAATCCTCAGCTCTACATTTTTAAAATGTCATTGAAGGCCTAACACCTCTTTTCTGTTTGTGTCTAAACAATTAATGCAACATTTATACAGTACAAAAATATGGCAAAAAAAGAAAGATGGGAGATATCACAAGATTAAAACTTCTTTATTTCCATAAATATTCTTTGCATATTTAAAAAGTTTAATGAAGCTCTTATTCTAAATTGTTCATGTAATTTAACAAAATTTCTTTTAAAAGTATTCTCAATTTTTAACTTTATGAAACAACTTCTCCTTGTTCTCCACAAAGTTAAAACAGTAAATATTTACGTGTAAGTTCCTCCAATCAATTAAAAACCATACTATTCTTTTTTACGTGACTTATTCTTTGGGGAAAAAATTAGCTTACTTGAAGATGGGCAATTTGTATCAGATATCTTAGTTTATCTGACTCTGTTCCATATCCTTGGACTTTGGCAGATAATTTTTCAGCAAGGGCTTTATACTTGTTCCTGGTTGTCTCAATTCCATTCCTTGCTTGAACAACAACTAATCTTTGGACTCCAATGTCATTCTTGATCCCTTGAAACAATTTCCAGACTCCAGGATGATGACAAGAAAACATTGCATTCAGTGCATGATGATAGCCTTTGGAAGCATTTGTTGTTTTTGGAGCACAGGCTAGTGCATCGTTTGTACGATTCCAAAGCTCTGGGGGAAATCTTGGAGGGGTTCTTCGGTTACGCATTTGAATTCCCCTTATGTAAGTTTGGTCAACATAAGCTAAAAGTGCTGTCAGTTCGTCACCATCTGGAAACTGTTGGCAAAGCAGCTCAAAAACATCAGTCAGCTCATTGAGTGGTACAAATGCCAAGGAACACAAACTCTTTATGAGCATATTGAGGTGTGCGTCTCTCTCATATTCCCCTTTCAAGCCTAAAGATTGAACCTTTCGCAGTATACTTTGACAGAAGTGAAAAAAACATCCTGATATATGTGCATTTGGAATCTCATGCCTAAAAGCGTTTATCGCAGCTAACTCAAAATCCAGTAATATTTGGTTTGGATTGGCAAGGGGGGCAAGCTGCTTAAGATATTGAATCATTCGTTCATAGGTATCCTCTGTTTTGTCAGGTAAAAGAAAATAAAGACATGGAGGGTAAGAACTACCAACTTTTGCATGAACTGTATAAAGTTGAAAAAACAATGAAGGAACACATTTAAATGTGCCATCAACAAGAAACAGTTCAGATGAATCAAGGTATCTGATCATTTCTCTATCGCCTAGCACCAAAATTCGTTTGTTATCATTTTCTCCTGAATCTAAAAGAACAAGATCAGTAAATTCTTGAAGAATTGGAAAAGATGAAGGCTGTGGTTCTCTTTGATCAAAATTATTCTTCTTCCGCTCTCTTCTAATAGTTCCTTCAATGGAGCTCTTTTGGGGCAATCTTGCCATAACATCCTCATTCAGGCCTCTCATTTGTTCTGCAAGGACATTTCTAGTCGAGGCATTTGAACTAGTTGCAGCATCTTTGATGTCAGACATGACTTTATTCTTTTGAGTATTCAAAGGATCACCAGGATGTTCATGATCGTTAGGTTGTTTTACAATTTGTTGACCTTTGGTAGTTAACGTAACATGGCATTTTAATGAAAAATATTTTCGACATCTCCAAACAATAGAGCCATCTTGGTTAGACCTTTTGTAAAGGTACTCATGACCATTGTATGCAAGAACGTTTCCACCTTGGTGTGATTTGTACATGGAATATTGAGCCATTCTTTGATTTTGAGAATCTGTTTGGATTTTAAAAATAAAATCTTTTATTTTTACAAAAAAATCTACTTTTGTTTATATATTTAAGAAATAAACGATTAAAGAAATAAATATTTTTTCTTACAAAACTTGTTACAACTTTTTAAATAAATAATGACTCAAACAATGAGAAAAAGCTAAATAAATGTTTACTGTATGGAATAGTAATTTTTAAGTTAATTTTAATTATGCATGTGTAATTTTGACAATTGTCAAATCTGCTTTGATCTATGACTCAAGATTCATGTGTGCATATATACAGTACAAACATTATTTTTCACAGCTAATACTAAGGTCTCATTAGATTTTTTAGAAATTTTTTTTAAAAAAATGAAATGAACTATTGAAATATTTACTTACCAAGTCTTTTAAATGAAACAACTTTTGTTTGGCTAAGATTGATGTTCCAAAAATTCTCAACCCAATTCAGAGAGAGACAAAATGCTACTGCATTAAAATCACAATTGCTTAGCTGAGAATTGAGAAGGCTTTACGGGATTTGTAGTCAAACAGGAGAAACCAGTATGGAATAATTCCTCAGGAACGAGAAGCAAGGATGAGCAAAAGAGACAAAAACCAATTTTTGATTATTAACTGAAACCTTTTTTTCTACCCAAAATCGATAAATTTTATACCAGTACAGATAAGTTAAAACACGTCACATGGTTCAATGGACTGGGAAAATTAACAGTGGATTTTTTACTCTTTGAGTTGAGCTAGACAATGGTTGAGCTAAACAAAGGTTTGGTTGCATAAGGGTTCAGTTTAATGAGGGTCTAATTAAATGAGGTATAAGTTAAATGGGGTTGAGTTGAATGGGGTTGGATTGATTAAGGTAAAATTGAAGGTGGGTTGAGTTGCATGTGGTCTGACTTGCATGTGGGTTGAGTTGCATGTGGTCTGACTTACGTGTGGGTTGAGTTGGATGTGGGTCGAGTTGGAGGGGGTTGGCTTAAATGGGGTTGAGTTAAATAGGGTTGGCTAGCCTGGTCACCGAAAAACTTATCATCTATTTGCTTATCTCTGTAAACGATGTTCATATTTTCAAAATTCCTCATTGCGAATCATGCAGCTGCTAAACCAGCTGACACTGAGGACAGCACCTCTGCAGGCATTCCTGAAGCGTGTGCACGAAGCCAAGGAGAGGGGCTTGGTGGGCCAGAGTTTGTTCTTCTCAGTCATTCAACCACTCATTGATAAGGATATCTGCTTGCCTACTGTTATCAGTGAAATGATATGGTTGGTTGTGGTGGTAGTGTGCTTGTGCTGGTTGGCTCGTGAATGGTTTCTTCATTTGGTTGTTGTGGCTGCTGTTGAATTGTTGGCTTTTGAGGTTTGTTGATCAGGGTTGTACGGCATTTCTATGTCTTTTGTATTGTTTTGAGTGATATTGTTAGTTGTGAATTTTTGCAAAACGTTTGCAAAAAAGTATGGTAACTTTGATTTCATCTTAAAACTAAATGTGGCTAACGCTAATTTTGTCCACTGTTGCAGTAAAATGTTGGAGCGTGTAGATAGACGCAACATCAGCTTGTTGGAGGTTGCTGCAACATGTCAGAAAGAATCTCTTAATGCCAGACAACATCCAAACAACAACCACACTAAACCACGAAATAGTCACGTAAGTCTCAACTACAACTTTATGATTAGAATTTTCTACATAGTATTTTGTTAAATTAACTCTCTTGTTAATCAATTTTTTGAGCGTTATAGTAGCAACCAGTATAAACAACTTTTTCCAATTTCGCTGACAAAAATTTCGAAATTTCCAAACTTGCAATTCAGGATTCGGGCATTGACAGCTGTGAATTCAAGCCTCGAAGAAGAACAAAGAAGGATGACGGGAATGAAGATGAAGATGAAATGGAGGAGAATGCCGATGATGCTAATGATGGTGATGACGACAACGACGATACACTTGTTCAAGTACCCAATCCGCATAATTTAAGAAGGAACAGAAAGAAGAAAAGCTTAGACTTGCCAGGCGAGCAGAACCAACCTAACAATAAAACTAGACAGCAACAAAATACTCACAACAACACCAGCACGGACACAACAACATCTTTATTAAAACATCCAAAAAATGCGGCCACACATGCTGCTGAAACACATGCAACGAGAAACAACAGACAAAGAGGTCGGCTGTCTATGGCTGCTAGCAGACAGCAACCATCACCTATCAAAAGAGCTACAAGAACCGCCAAAACAGCAGCTAAATCGACGTCAGTAACGCCTGCACGCAAAACAGCATCAACGAACAACAATGACGTCACTGACGACGTCACCGGCAACAACGCGTCACCAGTCTGCAAGAGACTTCGTAGCTGCGCGAAGAGAGTCAGAGGGATGAATCCCAACAATGATGGAGATGATGATGATGAGGATGATGATGATGAGGATGATGATGGAGAGAACGAGGATGGTGGAGGTGCTCACATGAAGAGAAGAAAGAGAATGAGGAAAACTAGGGCGTACTGATCAATGAATTGCATTCTAATTGTAAACATAATTTAATTTTATTTATTAATAATTATAAGGATAATTATTATTTTGTTTTGTGTCACAAAAATTCTTCTGAAATGTAAATTCTTGAGCCATCTACTGATTAGAACCGACTGACTGTGACTGGCTGATGAAGTGATGATATTTAATAGTCTTCTTGCATCTACTCTATTTATTTGCTGTCTATAATTTTTCATCTATCATCATCATATTATTTTTATTATTATTTTTTAATATACTTTAACTCTTAGTTATTCCTCAAATTCTAGTTTTTAAAAACACGAAAAGAATGTGAAAAATTGACAAACCTTCATTAACAAGCACACGCATTTTATACTTGTTCGTTCGTTTAGACTCGTTACCTAAAAGACAGTTTCGTAAAAATTGATCATATTAAATAGAAAGGTGTTATCAATTTTTTAACATATTTTTTGCTTTTTGTGTGTTCGAATGCGTGTGTATTCGTGTGCGTGCGTGTGTGTGTGTGTGTGTGGTGTAAGCTAAACCCAAGGTTCGAAATGAAACTTAACTATAGAAAAAAATGCTGATTTGATTATAAACGACATATGTTCAACAATTTTATTCCATTATATAACTAGAACAGTATATGAATACTTTAGTTATTCATTTTCAATTTATATTTTAATTGAGTAAATATCATTAAATAACTTTTTTTAATGTCTTTAGATAGTTTCATTTTTCAGGATTTAAGTGATTTTAAATGGAAAGATGTTATATTATGCGTAATAGTGGGTATGTACATTTTAGTTTCTAAAGTATTTTATTCTACTCTGCCTGTATATGTTTTATTATTATTTATTTATGTTATTATTTTTTATTTATATTGTTATTATTATTATTATTTTCACATTTGTTTGTTAGTTTCACACGTGTGTATATAAATATATAAAAAAAATTTCTTCGTAATGTATGTTAGTTCATTGTCGTTGGTAATAGTGACAATAGAAAATAAATGTTTAAAACATTATATAGTGATGTAAGATAAGTCATATATATATCTATATCTATTCATATGTATATACATATGTAAATGTATATTGTTTACTGGTAAATGCTGTACGCGTGTACGTATATGTACGTACACTTGAAATATACACTTCAAATGTACACCATCAGTATAGTACTAGCATTACACTGCATCATCTGAAATAGTAGTACATATGTACATTATTAGGTATTAATTTAATTAAATTTAATATATCTCTATAGATATGTATGGAAGGGTGCGTTTGTGTGTGTTTGTGTGTGTGTATGAATATATATACATTACACATCTACTATATGTGAAAAAAGGTTTTATGTATAATGTTGTGGATTTGTATATGTACTACAAATTTTATTATTCTCTTGAACCTGGATGCTAATTCTATTTTCAATAAATTGAACGATTTCCAGAAAAATCTAATGAAGAAAATTGAAAAGATAATCTTTAAATTGGTTAAGGCCAACAATTCGGTAGAATTCATACAATACTGTTTAAAAGATGGTCTCCTTCCAACACACATACACACACAACACTTATGTATATATATATATATATATATATATATATATATATATATATATATATATATATGATTTTGATAGTTGAGTGACAGATAAACTAACATACATACTTTACAATTGAACATTTGCAATTGTATTTATAACTTATTATCGTTATATAACGTTTCTTTCTGAATGTTTGCGAATGTTTGGAAGAAACCGGCGTCTACTTGTGTTTTTTTTTTTTTTTTTGTCTTTTTCATTTCTGCATTGGTTGAATAATAAAAATTACATGAAATTTCGTTACATTAGACTAGTTTTTAAACAAAATTTTGAATTTCCATTTAATTTATTCCTCATTTAATATAAATTATTTATTAAATAATGTTATATATAAATAAACCAATTTGGATTATACAATATAGAGAAGAGGTAGAAAAGAGGTAGAGATTGACAGAAAACAATGGATATCTAGTGCCAACTATCAAATCAATTAATCTTCGTTTTGCGTCCAGAGACCCGGTTTCCCGAGGTAGGACGTAATATATATCAACTAATATATATCAGTTAAATAAGCATGATAAACTAGAGAAGTAGGCTATGCGTAGATACAAATTCATCAATTAAGTGTTCTTCAGTGTGACGTGTGTGGGTATAATGTGATTGAGATGACTCGATCTTCAAATGATGTTCTCATCTATGACAAACTCGTCTTTAAAACGTTTTTTAGGGGAAAAATATTAAAGATTTGTATTATTTCTGGCCAATTGTTGAAAAAGGTTATTAGGTTGTTATTATCTAATTTTTTCTCATAATTTTTTTTCTTTTTCTTTTCTTCATTGTTTTGTAACATTTTAATTTACTTTGTGCTTGATTGACAGATTTATCATTTTCTGTAACTTACTTGATTTGATTATTTTTGTTTGATTTTTGTTTTTGACCATACAAGCCTACTGTAGGCTTCTGGTCCAAGGTCTTAGAAATAAATAAATAAATAAATAAATTGTTCCGTATGTAAAGTTAGAAGAATAAGGTAGAAGATGACAAAGTAAGGCTATGTTGACGTAGTTTTCAGGATCATCTTGACTTTTTTTTGTATAATCCGTACATTTCATTAAAGAATTTTTGAAAAGTTCCACGAATTGGGCGCAAAAATAAAATTTAATAATCAGTGTATATCCGACCTCTAGTGTAAAGTGTACATTCAACGGTTTTTCACGCATTTATGTTACCTGTACGAGACACAAAATCTTCTACCTCCAGTTCAGATCCTCCATGCTTTCGAACCACCTGGTAGCTCTCAAATCCAGATCACCATTTAGTTGCGAGTGGGAAAGTACTTTAATCTTTTGATATGATTTCCTTATCTGTTATTTTCCGGTCTCAAATTTTGAGTTTTTCCAAATCTCACGAAAAAAAATTAACATAGTACTGTGTCGTGTAAGGTTTAACGAAACGATTTTTGTCGAGATTTTGAGAGTTATACTACTGAATCAACAAGAACCAAACAAATGAATTTTGTTGATTTCGTTAATTTATTGAGGAAAATTCTAAAAGTCGACGTTGAACATAATGAATTTGTAACATATGAATGAATGAATGACCAATCATCAAAAATGAATATTCGTGAACGATAATATATGTATATATATATATATATATATATATATATATATATATAATGATAATATATGTATACACATATAAATGTATATATTACATATATGTGTATATATAACAGTATGTAACACTCGCATATAGGTATTTTAATAAGTAATTCATATATATTTACTTAATATATATTCATATACAAAGATTGGGTAGTAATGATTTTTAACAAAAGGTAATAGTATTATAGTAATAGTAAAGTTAGAAACGTGAAAATGATACATACATATATATATATATATAAACATATATATAATATATGTAATATATATATATATATATAAATATATATATATATATACAGGACAAAACTGGATCGAAGTAGTAGTAGTAGTGGTGGAAGTTTAAGTAACAACAATTGATAAAAAATTATTCGGGGAATTAAGGAAACTATTTATTTATTCATTCATCTAACGATCATTTCATCTTATGAATATTTCATTTATTATATATTATTATTATATATATTAGAAGAAAATTGACATATTTTATTTATAT